AGATGGCCTACATCAGAACACCAAGGTCAAGCCTCCCACTTGATGACAAAGAAGCATCGAGAGTCTGTCTCTCTTATCATAGATTCTTCCATCCACAGGCTAAAGGTGACACATTCTCATGGGCTTAATGACTAGTTTCTTTTTCACACTGTCTTCATTTCCAATCTTTTATTTGTACCCTTCATTATTTAGAAAACTATACTATATCAAACACACTTGGGAATAAAACAAGTCTTTGGGAGTAAAAATGAACTAAGAGAAAACATTACCGACAGTTTCGCGTTAACACGTTTACTAGTTAAGAAAGCAACACACTCATACTTTGGAAACTTTAATTTTTAAAATTAACTTAGTCAAGTTTTACTTATTGCCTTGTATGTATGTGGTGGAGAGAAGGGAGTGGGCATGTCATGGCATGTGTGGAGGTCAGAGGACAGCTTCCTGGAATTGGTCCCTTTCCTTTCTCCTTTACTTGGGTTCTGGGCTTGAAATCAGGTTCTAGACTGGACTGCCCAGTGCCTTTAATGGCTGAGCCGTCTATCTTTCTGGCCCTTGCAGATTTCATGGAAAAGTTATTATGGCTTTCACATCTCTAACTTCCAAATCTGTAACCCGAAGAGCTTTCAAGTCGGTAACATTTTAAAGACCCACATGAAGCCACGAGTGGAAAATCCCATCCTCCATTTTGTTCCTGACTGAAATTATTAATATTCCCACACAAAACCCAGTGTGACCCTGCTAATCTCCTGTCAAGACCCTCCAATGGCTGACTATGATGCTTCAAGGCAAACCTAACTAACCTCTTGGCTATGAACTGAAGGCTGGCTCGTTTCTACTCTGCTGCCTTCGCCTGCCTACCCTGCCCCTATATTCTGGTCAAGTTCTGTGACATCGTGTGGTCCCCCAACAGACTATGTCCTTTTCTGTCACAGAACTGTCCTTACAGAGTTCTCCAACTGGAAACACCTTGCCTCGTTCTTCACAAGACTGGCATTCTTCAATCTAGTACCTTTAATTCCTTGGCCACCTAGAACTCATTCTAACGTTTCTCTGAGTCTCTGATGCCTTCGTATGGAATCTGCTCAACCAATACCCACTACATGGCAGACACTAAGATACGAGCCATGGATACAGATGGAACAGACACATAGTAAAAAAACAGTTTCAAGGGACAAACTGCCTGCCTCTGTGTGTGATGAGACACATAGAGCCATCCATGAGTCCCACACTGGGCCCTGGAGCTGAAGACCCACACAGATCAGCACTCTGTCCATATTTGCTAGCTTCCCTGCCATGGTCCTTCTTCTTCATCTTAATTTGGCCTTCAGGTCTTGGCTTCTCCTAACTCTTGAAGGAGAACTGGGGGGACTACTGAAGTGAGGCAGAGTCTTGGGGTCCCAACTTAGGCAAGGTAGTGAGGACAGAGGGAGAGTAGAACATTTCATGCATGGGAAAAGTCTTAGAACCAAGAGAAAATAGGGAACCAGTGTCAGTGGTTACACGCATGCTTAGCGTTCATGAGACCATACATCCCAGCAGCCACTTAGAAAACAGGCCAGGCACCTTCAAGGAACTTGATAAGAAGGGGACACAAAGACTACAATGCAGGAGCAAAGGCCTGTTACAATCTCTCAGATCATGCAGAAGTAACAGGTAACAGGAAGAACAGTGTCCTTCTTAGACAAGAGCTTAGGGAGACCTCAGGACTGCCACATGAGTTGATGCAGAAAGCAGGGTAGGAGCGAACACGTCCTGGTGAGATACAAGAGGAAAGGGAAGGGAAGCAAAATGAAGGAAGCGTTCTTGGAGAAGTAAAGATCAACACTATCAACTCCTATTGCCCATTTTCTCTGAGATGCTTTTATTTGTGGCCTCAGTTGGCAGAACAAACCCTCTATCCATTTCTGAGTTTGGCAGTCTAAGAGATGACTGATGGGCCTCAGGACAACATTATTTAAAATGGGCTCGAGTCCACACAGGCTTGGCGATACAGAACCATTTTGGAATTCTAAATTTTGGAATTTAGAAAGGCAATATGATGTGTATGCGTGTGTGCATGCATGCATGTGCATATGTACACAGATACATACATACACACATATTCATACACAAATATATTTTTATAATATATTTATAAAACACTTCAACCAGGGACTAGGTTAACATTCATTTGCTACAGAAAAATATGCGTATATTAATGGAAGGTGAATAGTCACACCAAGAAGCACATACATATCTGTACGTAGTCACCAGGGTCAGGTGGGCATCTCACAGCCTTACCTCCTCCATGGGGATAACCTGAGCGTATCCGCCACCTGCAGCTCCTCCTAGACAAGAGAGCAAGCACAGTGAGGTGAGTCCCCAGATCTAGTTACACAATAGACACAGACTAAAGGACGCTACTCACACCCAGTAGGGAAGGCCTGCTAAGGCCCAGAGACTCTATCCATACAAACAAAATTAAACAAAAACAGTGCACTGTATCTAGCAATGCCATTTTAGGCCTTCTGTTTCTTTGAATAAAAAGGAAGGTTGGCAGAGGCCTACAATCACAGCTCCTAGAGAAACTGTGAGGAGTATCACGGATTCAAGGCCTGCCGGCTAACAGAGTGAGCTGAAGGCTAGCCTGGGCAACACAGCAAGGTCCTACTTTTAAAAAATGTGAAAAAATGAAACAAAAAATGTCCCCAAAGGTAAATACAATACAGCAAATATCAGTACTATAAAACACATATTTCAGGATAAGAGATCATTTTATTAAATTCACTTTAGGGTCTACATTGGTTATGTTTCATCTAAGTCATACATAAATAAAACCTAACGCCCCCTGCCAGGCTTGGTGGAACACTCAGGAGGCAGACTCAAAAGGATTACAACAAACCCAAAGTCAGCCTGGTCTGCACAGCGAGAACATCCCTCAGAAATAACAGAACGGTGTGTGTGTGGTGGGGGAGGAAGTAGAAAGGGAGAAAGGAAAAGACAAGGGGAGGGGGAAGGAGAACTTGAGGGAATGGAATAGTAGAGATGGAGGAAGGACAGAGATGAGAACAAGGAAAGAGATATTTTGATTGAGGGAGCCATTATGGGGCTAGCAAGAAACCTGGGACTAGAGAAATTCCAGCTAAGACCCTAAGCAATAGAGGAGAGGGTGCCTAAACTGGACAAGCTGTGGGGGTTCAATCTTCAGCACCATGTAAGCCAAACAACAACAAAACCAAAAAATATTCACCGTGAATACCTCACTTCAGACATGAAAATGACAAACTTCAGGTAATTCATCTGATGGTTGCTTATCCCTTCCAATATTAGTTATTATACTAGACACTAGTCTCTCACACGCGTACGCCATTTTACAGCATAGCTTGCTCTTTCCATGTTATTTGAATCTCACAACAGCCAGATGAGCCTGGTGCTACAAACCCTTCTACACCTATAGATGGGGTCAGAGACGTGCAGATTGGCTGTAGACCTTGCAGAGGGGAGAGACACCAGCCATGAACAAGACCCTGGACTCTTTGCTCTAAGTCTCATGTCCAATCTGCTTCATAATGCATGGCCCTCCAGGAGGAATCAGTACTTAATGGGTTAGGAATTATTAATATTTGTAACAGTGATATAAATAAAACACAGTTAAAAACCGCACGCTGCCAAGATCACGCAGCAATTGCGGCAGTAAGGGCCGAGGAGTGACTTTCATGATAAATCAACAGAGCGGGAGTAATGAAGGGGAAGGTGCCAGACATCAGCTCCGCTAAGCCAGAGAGGAATTTCCTCACGGCTCCGCACACAGCCAGTTGTCTCCTCTCCAGAGCTCCTTGGCCCCACACAGCAACTCCCACAAGCTGCGACTTGGGGCCTGACCCAAAGAGCTCATCTGTGTACGGGAAAAGACCTCTCACTGTGGCTGGGATGATTAGACTCCAGTGAGATGGGCAGAGTTTCAAAACCTCTTGACGAAGGAGAAGAAGGGGATGATACAGAAGATGCTGCTGGAGGCAGGAGTTCTGAGCAACAGTGCCAAGGGACCAGCTTCCTGGGGCTCCACAGACGACCTCCCCACCCCAGTCCTGCAGCAACCTCTGCATGCCTTTACACACTAGGAGGTTCAACTTGGGGTGACGCCTGAGTGTTCAGGGGATACAGAGGAATGATCAGCCAGCTCTTTTGCAAACATTTAATTCCATCTTCGTGTCTCATGTTCAGTTGGAACTTTTATGGCCCTAATTTTACTCTGAAAATCGGTACCTTTCACTCCAAACGTGGGTCCCTGGGAAGGCTGCCTCAGACAGGCGAAGGAGTTGACGTGCAGGTGGGCGGTCAGGGCCTGCACCAGTCCAATGGTAACTGTACTCTTCCCTTCTCCAAGCGGGGTGGGCGTGATCCTAGTTTGGAGGGAGATGAATGAATTTAATTGCATTTCCAAGACAACACTTATGAAAACCAAGCTGATATCTCAAGTCCAAATCCAAGGACATAGGCAGTGAGCAGAGCTTGCCCCGCATACTCGATACCATAGTTTCTTAGATTGTTCCCAGGCGTAGCACACGGGACAAGTTTAACCTAAGTCAGAGGCACAAAAGTGAAAGGCTACATGGTCAAAAAGGAGAGTCCCTGGGCGACAGTGTTGGCAATGTTCATTTTATGGAGGGGCACAAAGCTAGTCGCTAAAATAGTTGGAACCACCAACTTGACATGGTGGCTTTTTGGGCTATCTGTCTCTTGCTTTCCAGAGCTATTTATTAGGGGTAAGGTGGGCGAAAGGACTTTGTCAAAGGTTGCTGAGTGAGTGAGGTAGGGCCAGAGTCTCAAGATTAGAAGGGATCCCAAAGTCCCTACTGGCCCAGGTACCAGATGCTCATGGCCAGGTCTGGATCCCACCATATCCAACAGGTAGACATGAGCTCATTATTGCCAGGTGACATTGTGTGTGTGTGTGTGTGTGTGTGTGTGTATGTGTGTGTGTATGTACGTGTGTGTTCCCATACGTGTTTTAATGGATATTGGAATTTGAATGCTTCGTGGATTTGCATGGCATCCTTGTGCAGGGGCCATGCTAATCTTCCTTGTATGGTTCTAATTTTAGTATATGTGCTGCCAAAGCGAGCCCACTAGGTGACATTTCTAGGTACAGGTTTTATAGGTAAGTCTCTTGTTCCAAAGGAGACATCTGAATCCCTGTTGTTGCCTACATCTTAGGAGGTCCCACTAATCCGGGGCCCGTGGTCCACATACACCTCATAACTTGGCCCAACACACGAAACCATAAACTTCCTTAAATCACTGAGGTTTTTAACAAATCTTTTCTTGTTTAACTAAACTATGTGCTTTGTGATTAGAAATTTTATAGAAGCCAACATTGTGAATCAATGTCAAAAGTGTAGATCCGCTTGTTGACTCCTTTCCTATACAACAGGCTTTCAAATGCTGGATGAGAAAGTCCGAGTCCCACTGCACACCCAGGAGGAAACCCCTGCACGGAGGAGCTGACCTTCCAGGATACCACACAAAGACATATTTTCGCATGGTCATAATATTGCTGCATTTTGTGATATTTCATTCCCGAGTAAGGTCCCATAGCACCATCCTACAGTATACTTTAACCATCACTAAAATTCCTTAAATTTTCTCTTCAATGCTTACAACCTCATCTTTTATGAGTTAAATGGTGTGAGCCAGGGTGTCTAGGAAACTCAGTTATAACAAAGCTTATGGACAGAGTTTTTTTCTAACCTACAAAACCTGGTGATGTTATCATGAGGAGGAAGGCATTCCTTCAGATACATCTTTGTCCCCAGCTATCTCAGAGTAACCCAGCGACACGATCCGTCGCCCATTCATACAATAAATATTTATTCAGTACTATCACGAGTCAGGGTCTGGGCTAGATCCTGGAACACAAAGGCGACCATGTCAGACCCTGTGTCTCCCTCCCAGGATGTCTAACTGATGGGAGATACAGATAATTCAGTGAATATAGCAACTGTGATAAACAGCAAGAAGGGGAAACAGGGCAAGTGCTGTATTAAGAGCATCGGAACGAGCTTCCGCTCACTTCAGAAACCAAGGGAAGCTTCCTGCAGACCTCACAGCTAAGCTGGGATGTGGCTATCAGATAAATATTCCCTGGATGAAATGAGCCAAAGACAAGGCATTGCACTCTGGTCTTTCATCTGCTCTAGCTGGTTTCTCCTCCAGATGGAAGGTGGGGCCACAGGCGACATTTCAAAGCTCCAACTGGGTAAGAAAAAAATGAGAATAGGACCATTGGGTACGTTTTCCTTTAAGGAACAGTCAGAAAAGGCAAAAAAAAAAAAAAAAGAATCGGGGGGGGGGACTTAATTGGGGGAGGGGGAGGGAAATGGGAGGCGGTGGCTGGGAAGAGACAGAAATCTTTAATAAACAAATAAATTTAAAAAAATAAATAAATAAAAAAAAGAATCAAAGAAGGAAATCTGGAGAAAACAGGACATGACATAGCTCGGAAGGAGGCTGAGAAAGACCACTTCTAGAGATGAAGAGCCACCAGGGACTGAAGCAAGGTGCGGACCAAGAAGAACTGAGGAGTTTAGTGACAAGGAGGTCGCTGTTGACTTCTATACAGCAGGGATTTCTGATGAGCCAGTTTAGGTATTGATGAAATAAACCGGAAATGCCCAGGTCACAGGAAGAGGGCTTATCACACCCATGTCCACCTGTCTAAATAGCACAGTATGAGGAGAACCATTACTCAAGGCTCTGAGTTAAGTTCACACTGAAGTAAATACAACACAAATGAAAGAAAGGCAAAGCCCACAGACATCACTGGCTTGCAAAAGCCACCCATTGTTCGTAAAGCTGCGCTTTATGTCACACGGAGGATCCCATTTTCTCTCCTAAGGATATGCTGGCAGAGCTGAGGAAGACACGCCCAGGGATGACCTCAAACTTCAGCCAGCCATCCAATTCTTAATTGGAAACACATGACTGTTGAGCTTGCTGCCAACGAACACAATGCAGCAAAAGTCACAAAGTAGGAAGTATTTATTGGAAGCAATAAAGGACAGCTGCAATAAAATTTTATTTCTCCCCACCTCTGCATTTGATATCAAAATTTGGTTTAATTTTTCCCCCATATCCTTAGCTCCGATCCCAAATTATCAGGTTGGTTTCAAAAAGAGTAAAGTTTCCCTTTCTGTTTCTAGGAAGTCTCTTTGTTGTGGAAATGGGACCGGGAGCTTTCCTCACCATCTCTGAGCTCCAGTTGCCTTCCTGATTTTTGTGACTTTTCAGATGACATTATAATAAAAGTTTTGACATGCTAAGGTGAAGAAAAAAAGCCTCCACTTCTTGCATTAGTGTCACCTGACCAGGCCACTATATCATCATCATCAACAACAAAAATGTCTGACAATATTATGAAGCCTTTTCTTAGCTAAGTACTGTTTGCTGTTAATGACAGTAGGATTCATCAAGATAGCCTGTGACAACTGGAAAAAGTTGATTCAAAAGCCAGAGGGGTTTCTTATGCAGAGACAAAGGTAAAGATCTGGAGTACCATTTAAAATTGAGTTTTGTCAAACAGTATCATGGGCACCAGCTATGCATGGCCTGACCGTGACCTCCAAAGCTACATGCACAAACAGCTATAAATATACATCACTCATCCCAGGCATCTTTATGGCGGTGAAGGTTTTAAAAGCCCTTTACTATCTAACAGTAAATGTGACGGTCCATCTGGGTGTTTTCCCCATTATAGCTGATGGAGGTGAAGAGTTCAAAGGCTGTGTTGGCACTTGTTTCTTCTAATGATCCACGTCCTCTTCTGCCATCAGTACAACTTAAAGAAAACCTCACAGATGTTCAAATGGCGGCTTGAGAAAGGGAAAGTCTTACAAAGTCAGGACAGTTTCTCTTAAGTTGCACCAAAATAAAGGGTTGAAACATTCAAAGAAAGAAATTTTAAATCGGATATTTAGCATTCTGAAAAAGCAAAATAAAACAAAACTGACACAGAGAATCTCCATTTTTCCTCCAGTGAGAAATTCAGTCTATATTCATGGAGCAGTTTGGACTTTTAAAAACCCTTTTGTCCATTGAATTCAGACATTCTAGAATCTTCTAGATGGTGCCGGACCAAACGAGGCCCAGGACATATTTAAAAGGCTTGCAGCTGCACCCCATGTCAAGTTCTCACACAAAATCCCTTTTCACTAGTGTAACTGGGAAAATATGGAAAACTCCAGAGTCCCTAAGAACCTTTTGGCGCATTTCCCCGGGCAATTCCCAATACTTTTCATTTTGTCAGGCAAAGCAAATACAGCCGTGTATAGGTGTAAACATCGTGCGATGTGTAGCCGATGGGAGGGCAGGTCATTCCCTCCAAAGATGAAATCCTACAACCTGAAGAATGGCTTTTAAAAATGGTGGGACTGGGGGCTAATCTGGTCTCCATTTGAATTATCAACAATTCAATTAAAAAAGAATGAAACCTCCACTCTTCCATATTTTCATCCCACCGTTGATAGGTTTAGATGAATTTTTTAAAAACTTTGTTGGGTATCTGAAGTCTCTAAAATATGGTAGAATGTTATACTACAGAATTCAGAAAGAACGGGAGGATGCTAATGTTATTTCTAATGTGATCTTTAATGTAAACAGAATGGGCATAACAAAGGTAAAATCCTGGGAGGAAACAGAAAAAAAAAAATGAACACTTCTGAGCAGTGAGATAGTTTAGTTTCTCCTTCTTCTGACTTTTCTTTATGCTGAGCTTTCCATAAGAGTTCAATATTATTTTCCAAATAAAAAGAGAATTTCAAAAAATGGGGAAGAATATTTCTCCTTTGAGGGGCCATTTATATTCTTAAAAACTGCCACAGTGCATGGAAGAGTTGATATCATCATTTCCCTCTAGCTTTTCATCTAAAGCAAAAAAAAAAAAAAAAAAAAAAAAAGAAGGGAGGTGACTTTTATGTCAAATTTCAGTTTCCATTTTTAGATTATAACCATATGTCTGATGTCAATCACCCAGCTGCCAAAACTAGTTAACACACTGATAAATATATCAGGCATTGTATTTGAAGGAGAATTAAGTAGTTAATTTAATTGAGTCAGGATCTCATTGTGAAGCCTGGTTGGCCTGGAACTCGCTTGGTAGAGAACACTAGCCTTAAACTAATAACCAAACTATATCTGTCTCCCAAGGGATAGGATTCAAGGCATGTGCCACCTCACCTGACTCCTGAATTTGTTTATTCGTGTAGAACACAGCGTGGCATGGGCTCTCTAGAAACCATACATTTCGTCATGGGTGTGCTCAGGACTCAACAACACCACCTTCCCAGGTTGTCTTTTGCTTTGCTGTATGGTTTTGAATAGAGCAGAAAGTTAGACCCCTTCCAACAGAGAGGGTTTAATGCATTCTCAGGGAAAGAATGATTGCCTGCCTGTCATTAAATCTGCCCTTGAGGACTCTAGTTCAGTTTGCATTTTCATTTACGTGGTATGCTTGCTCCGGCTGGGTCACACATACCATGTAGCAATGGGGCAATGCGGAGCAATGTTTCACTGAGTGTGGACTGCTGGGAGTGATCCAAGCTGCCCAGGGTTGTCTAGCCCAGGGCTTCCTAATACTACTTCACCTGTGAATCTTTTCAACCAAGGAATTTTTGTGTAATCTCAGGTATACAAAATAGGCACGCAAATCAAACATTAATTAATAAATAATTATAAATGTAAAAACTCAATTTGTTTGTGTATATGTAATTTTACCATTTATTAAAAAGGAAACTGAATTCGCATACTAAGATGGACATGCAATGGTTTTTAATATAAGAATTAAACCTTGGATGCATATTCAATACTATAGGATACAAGCCATCTTCGACATTTTTTTGGGTTGAAAGACATTTTGACTTAATAATCATCAATGATGAGAACGCTGCTTTGCATAAATATGTCATACAAAAATAGCAGAAGCATATTTAGGGCCACTGTAGAAATTGATAGAAATTCTGTTCTAATCCCAAGCTAAATTCATCTAATCATTTTTTTTTCACGAAACTCAAGTCAGAAACTCAACCTTTGAAAAATCAAACACTCTAACACAATACAACCTAAAGATACTTA